ATATAGGTTGAACGATGAGATTAAATAGATTCCAGGCCAATAAAATATAAAATATGGCGTGATTACTGAGATTAAAATTGATGATTTGATCAGTGATCGTAAAATTGCTTATTAATTGTTTATGGGTTGCTTATGAGTAGTGATCCTAGAATAACCCAAAATCAGGATCACTGATGAGAAGTACTTAACAAAAGTGATAGTTAAACTGCATATAAAAACTCATATCACCTAATCACAGCACTCCAACTGGAAATTTCCGCCCATATGCTTATTTTTTAAGAATTTCTATTTTTGTTATGAAAAAATTAAAAGTTAATTCCGGCCGGAATTTAGTAACCAAATTTGTAATGTGGGCCAAAATTTCAAAGATCCTCGGCCGTTAGCCAATCAAAATCGAGGATCTGCCGGTCCGAATTTGTTACGGCAGCTATGATTAATCCCAGAATTATATGCTACGGCCATGACGTCGACCATCAACTCGAACTTTTAGGGCCGTATTTTTTTTTTTAAAAAAAAAAAAAAAATCTTTTCTAATTTTATGAAAGGGTTATGTAGATTCTAATCTTTTAAAAAATCCGAACATAATGATAAAATCATACTATTGTTTGATTTATTAGAGTGTTCACAGTTTTTGCTGACTGGTTTCACCTTTGCAAATTTTGTGTACGTTTTTAATTCTCTTATTATTACCATTTCCTTGTTTCACCTTTTAGTCGTCCTTGTTTATTCTTTCCAATAATGTATTTGCTTCCATACGTATACAGTTAATAGTATCCTCGTCTACATTTATATTTATTGTAAATTTAAACGTATGAGCTCCGGACTAAAGCTGAATCTACATATTTTATTCTTATTTTGCAGTTAATTAGTTTACAAATCTTATAATTTCATAAAAAAAAAATAATAAAAAAAGGTAAGCTATCTACATATAACATTACACAAATTTAATATCAAAAGCCTGTGCGCTAAGAGTTATATGGAAGGTCGATGATTAAGAAACAAAGGAAATAAGATACGTAGGAAATAATTATTATATATAGTATTTTTTGTCAATTTTTTACATTGTCACTTACTTTTTATAAAGTTTGTATCCAGTACCTTGTTCACAACTCTCCCACAAATGCACCATCTTAAGACTTTAAAAGAATTATTGTCTATTTTTTTTATAATAATGCTAACACGATCATTTCTCTTAAATTCTTTTTCTCCTTCCATTCCATTCAATTCATCTTTCATTATATTAATAACGAACGGGAAAATAAAACATTCCAGAATATCATTGATAACTTGAAATGAAGGAATTTTCTCGTTTAGAAAATAAATCATTTTTGTATTATCATCATAATATAAGTGTGATGGATAAAAACGACCAAAAAAGTTTTCGAGCTGTTGGTTCATAGTGATAGGTAATAATGAACGATTCCATCCGCGGACCTAAATTCAAATTATTTATGTTATGTCATTAAAAATTTATTCTTTTTCAAAATATATATATATATATTTCCTTGTAAAGATACTAAAGATACTTACTTCGACATTAAACATTTGTTGATATGATTTATTTTTCAAAAATTCATCGATTATAATAATAGGGACTAATCGTTTCCATTGCTGACAAGTTGCTCGAATTTTATAAAGTGCTTGAAATCTGTAATTTATTAATAGTGAGTAAACAAAAATAAATTGTTTATTAAAATATCTTAAGGTTACCCAGATTCGTGTAAGACCTCTCGAAGAACATCTATAATAAGTTCGTTAGGAAGATTTGCCATAGTAATAACGAAATCGAAGACTAGCAGTGAGATTATTATTATTATTATTATTATTATTAGTTCAAGTAAAGCTGTAAAAATTAAATGGTCGATAAACTCGCTGATGGGCTGTAGGATATCACTGTTAATCTTTTTTTTAACATACGTGTGACAGTTGCATTACGTAATTTTCGGTTAATATCAACGGTCAGCTGTCAGTCATTACTATTACTATTACAGTATTACCCATATAAGTTTATGCTGCCACAATTCATAAATGGAAATAATAACAGTAATCACCGATCATTTAATTGTTAAAATTTCCATTTTTGAATTAACTGCTCCATATGACTTGACAGCATGATTAAATCATAGTATGTACAGTAGCCAACAAAAGTAACGCCCGATAGTTTTTTTATAGTAAAACATATAAAAAATTGAAATTTATATAAATGTAAAAGTCAATATTCTATTTATTTTAAAATTTTTTTTTTAATACTATTAGTAAATTCAATACTTATATTTTATAATG